TCATGTGGGCTGCCGTGGGTTTCCACACAGCATGGTGGCTGGTCCGAAGAGACAGCTTTCAGAGTGTGAGGGAGGGGAAGCGCTCCAGACAGAAGCTGTGCCACCTTTCCTAACCTAGCCTTGAGAGTCACACGGACATTTCTGCCATAGGCACAGGCTCACCCGGCTTTGCCCCTACACAGAGCATCAGTGGTACATGGTAAAAAGGGCATGTGGGATGGGGAATATGTGGTGGGCCATCATGGAAGTTAGGAAGTGTCACACTTGCTCCCCCCACCTGTCTACTTAAGACCCTTCAGGAATGGCCACCACCCTTGGGAGAGAATCCATGCTCCTTGGTGTGTTCCCTGCCCTTCTGGCCTTGCCTGTCTCTGCCTTCCCTTCGCTCCCTCCCTCCGTAGCTGGCCCCAGAGATGGATTTTGGTTGAAATCAACCCACTGGCCACATGGAACTTCCTTGAAGAGGCAATGGGTTCTTGAACTTCCTTGAACACTTACCCCTCTCCTCACACACTATTTGGGCTCCATTTTCTCTGTGACAGAGCTCAGATGTAGAGGCTCTGAATGTATCTACCCCATGGCTCCTGGACACACCTCCACTCCCCCTGGTAACCTGGCTTATTGCCTCCAGCCCCTTGTCATGAGCTTTCTGTCTCTGCCTCTGTGCCTTTGTTCACACTGTTCCCTCCACCTGGAACACCCACTCTCTCTCACCCTCACCCTTCCACAGCTGAATGAATGCCCTGCCTCCTCCTTGTGGTCTCCCCGACTGCCCAGCCACCTGGGCCCCTCCCTGCCTTTTGTGATCTCCTGCAGTGTCTCATGTGCAGTGTTGCACATGAAATATGACTGTGGTGTCAGATCTGGGTCTGTATGCCAGCTCTAGTGCTTGCCAGCTCTATTACCTTGGTGACAATTGCTCACTCGTTGGATTGGAATGAGGATAAAATGAGCGAACCCAAGTTAAGCACCCATTTCTTGTCTGGCACCAAGTAGAAGCCCAGTAATAGGGTTTCCTTCTTTCTAAAGCCTCTGGCAAATGCTCAGTAATGAATTTCCTCACCCTCATTTGGTTGAAAGATTGAAAATGCATCTCCCTGCTTAATCACATGGGACTAAACTACCAGAAGATGTTGCTGAGCCCTGAGCAGAGAGAAGAGCTCAGTAACAATACACCTGCTTATTTAATATAATCCTGCCAGTGGAGCTGAATCTTTGTCCTCAGAAAAAGCTCTGCTGCTGCAGTGGTGTCCAAGAGCTGCAGTCAGAAGGCATATGGGGCAGTGTGACCTTGAGAACAGAGCTGCGAGGCAAGGGCAGTTCCCAGAGGCCGCAGGGGCCGGTGGAGAGCAGGAGCTGGTCGGATGCACAATGCTGCTGCCCCTCTCAGGCCGCCCCCGGCTTTGGCCCAGTGGTAGTGCCCTGTCAGGTGATGGCTGCAGCTGTCTTGCCATCCTTCATGGGGAGACTGAGAGAACAGGATGGCCAAGGAGGTGGGTGGTGCAAGCTGTCCATCTGTCCATTCGCAGGTTCCCATACCTTTCACCCAGGGCAGTTGTGGAGGATCTGAGCCACATTATCCTGGCACCCGTGGACAGAGTATGGGTGGTCTTGGGGAAGCTCTGAGGCAGGGAAGGGTGGGGGAGCTTCTGCTCTGAGAAATGAGAAAGGCAGACCTAGAGGAATAGTAAGAAATTATTCCCCTTTGCAGCAAATCAGTAATGAACCCCTCATTCAGTCCAGGCTTCAGTTGGGGTGCTGGGCCTAGGTGTTCATGCCCGCTCACCCTCACATTCTGATCCCCTCCTTGTCCCCCTTACTTCCCAGTTTCTGACCTTCCAGATTGGGTCAAACACAGCCTCAGTGCAGAAAAGCTCCCCCCCCCCCCCCCCAGCTCTGTCTGGTCCCAAGGAAAAGGGCTTGGTGGGGCCATTTCCAGAGTTCCATGACATCCATAGTGGTGGCAGCAATGACCTGGCAAAATCCTGAGACCCATTGTGACCCCAAGATGCTGAGGAGGGTCAGGGATAGGAGCTCATTCCCTGGTCAGACTACCTCAGCCTGGTCCCACTTGGTCTGACCCTGACAGCAAATGGCTGTCAATTCATTTCCCCTTGTATAAAATGAGGATGATGTGAGCACCTGTTTCAGAGTTGAGCCCCCCCCCCCCCAAACCGTGTTAAGGGCTTCGTGCAGGGTTGCCGCAAGCACAGAACTCCTGAAAACTTGAGGTGGGTAGGGGTCTGGTCTCTCTTGTTCACTCACTGTTATCAGATAAATCTGCACCTGGCACAGCTCCTGGCATGTGCCTGGAACACACTCAGTAGATACAGGAGGCACGTGCTATCATGGTTGTTGTGGGAACACTCAGAAAGACCGGCAGGACCCCACACCTAAACGTTCCTCCTGCACAGCCCCAATAAACAATTTGTTGTCTTGGGGCTTTCCTCCACCTGGAAGTCACCCTGCGAGCCGGTTCTAATCCACTGCCAGTGGCTATTGTCTGGGGATGGGGTGGCTTGGCATTCGAAGCCCTTGCAGGGATTTCTAGGTTCTCAGCCCCTCTGAGGACCTCCTGCGGCGCTAGTTGCTTTTTGCCTTTCCACAGCCTCTTCCCTGTGTGCTCAGCTGCCCCGGGGAAACACCCCTTGCAGGGAGAGAACTGTATCTTCCTGCCTTCTCTCCACCCTGCTCTCTGATGCTCGCCCCTCCCCTCCCCCCCAGGTGTGAGATGGGATGTGTCACTACCTAGGGAAGTCACTAGCAAGTGAGCCCCAGATCCCCGTCTTCCAGGGGAGGCAGTAACCTTCCACCGTCTCTTGGAAAAGGAGGATGCTGCGTTCTCTTCCTCCTCTTTGATTTCATCTGCCTCTTGCTGGCTCAGGGTTTCACTCTGTGGTCCCCTTAGTATTTTGCAGCCAGGGCTTTCCATGGGGGAAGCCTCCACTTCTCACCTACATGTGAAAGTTAAGGGGAGATTTAATGCGATTGGAAAGCACTTAACAGATTAATACCTAACAGTTGTCAAGTAAGATTAGAAGAGATTGTGGGTGTGTTACTGCTCACCCCAGAGAGGTTCAGAATAGATATGTGGCTATTCTGATGCCAGCTCATACAGGACCTGGCACTACCAGGCAGAGCTGGCATCAGACCCCTGGTTTAAGGGCATGCCCCCAACGAGACTGCCCCACACTTGAGATGCCACCACGAGTGGACTCCCCCAGGACACCACACTTCTGATCAACAGGCTGCAAATTCGAGGGGCCTACATGACCCTCCTCAGGTTCCATAATTTACCACAACAACTCACAGAACTCATTGTGTTCTACTTATAATTCTGTTACAAAGGATCCAAATCAGAAATGGCCAAATGAAGAGACACGATGGGCAAGGTCAATCCAGTAGCCGTGGTAGTATTTTTTTAATCTGATATTCTGGAAATCGTCTCAATATCTCAGTTGCCTGCTGTCTGCTTCTACTTTTAAGCATTTCCTGTATGCCTGGCTGGCACTTTTATTTAATTCTTACCACTGCCCTTTGAAGTCTTTGAGGTTATTATACCCATTTTAAAATGCAGAACTGAGGTCCAGAGGAATGGTGACCACCTCAAAATGACAGGGCCAAACAGCAGCCCAGCTAGGATTGGAATTCAGCTAATCAGTTCTGAGTCAAAGATGGGGCCATCCCAGTTTGCCCCAAACAGTGTGTCAGATGTCCTTCCTGGCTAGAAGATGGTGGCCTTTCCCTTACAAATGTTGGCTGTTTGGAAGGTGGTTGCTCATCTCTTCTGTGGTGTATGACTAAGTCTTCAAAACCAGAGAAGGACCCTTCTCAGAGAAGCCAAGTAGGGCTGCCTTGCTCCATCTGGGCAGTGACCAGCCACCCCAGCAGGCCCAGCCTTGTGGACATCCCGTCCAAGAGTCAGGGAGAGGCAAGAGTCAGGGAGAGGGCAACCTTCAGGTGCTGGCTCTTTTGCTTTCCCTATCAGGGTTGCCTGTGTCTAGCAGTCCAGAGCAGGAGGGCCTCTGAGCCAAGCTCAGCTGGGCCGGTCCCCCTTGGAGATTCCCAGGCCCATGGCGGAGACTTGATGGGACAGTGTAGACAAGCACTCCATGCTGGGCCTGACCCAACAGTTGTTCCTTCGTCACCCTTCCTCCCCTCCCAGATAATTAGAAATGCTGCCTGCGATAGGCATTTGTGCCACTGCCAGGCCCCAGGGGACCTGCACAGGGTTAGGTCAGAAGCCAAACCCCACACAGTTTGGGAATTTAGCATTTGTGGAATTCCCAAGAGATGGCCTGGGTTCTCTCAGCCATACTGGTAGGTGGCTCTTGTTTGGGGTTTACTGCCCCTTAGAGGGCATTTGCAAATATGGAAGGCGGTCCCGTCAGCATTTACCTGGTAAGATCCAATGATGCTAAACATTCTGTGAGGAGATAGACTGTCAGGCACACACTACAAAAAAATAGTCCTGCCCTTGAGAGACACTGGAGGATAGCCCATTTACTTCCCCTGCACCCTGGTTCCTTGGAAAGCCACCTCCTTACTAGTCCCAGGCTGAGTGAATAGGGAAAAAAGAGTATGCCTCCCTCCCAGCCTGTGGCCGATGGCAAGTCAGTATTTCCAGGTGACCATGGGTCCATGCAAGAGGAGCATCTTGTCTTATGCACATACTTGCTCTGATTCTTCTATATGCTTCTTGCCTCACTCTTGGCTCTTGGGGGTCAGGGAAGACCTGGATGCGGGTGGTGAGAATTCTCCAGACTGGGGAGGCCTCTTGCTTGGTGCTGGCAAGTATTCCCCTATAACCTACCCAGTGTGGACTTGGCCACCTCACCTTAGGGTCCATCTCTGAGGGTCTGGCTCCTGCTTCTGTTTCTGAATTTCATCCTTCCTCTAGGCTTTTTTGTTTCCTTATTCGTTTTTTTCACATGATATGTGTTTGGAGGATTCTAGTTTGCATGCCACAGCTGAACCCCTTTCTTCTTGTTGTTTTGCAGTCGGGAAGACGTCTCTGATCACACGGTTCATGTACGACAGCTTCGACAACACGTACCAGGTGAGGTCCTGGGTTCCCCTGCCTCCCCCACCATGTCTGCAGCCATGACAGCAACCTAGAGACTATGCTGGCCTGTCTCCAGGGCTTGCTAATGCTGGCCAAGAGCAGCATGGTCCTGGGTCCCCTGGGCATCCGTTTTGCCTTGGCGGAGCTTCGTACTTGTGCACAAGCCCCAGCCCAGTAAAGACCCTGAGCCCTTCTGAAAATCCAAACCTTGGTAAAGGAAACATTTTCTAAAAACAGAGAGGACACATTTCAGTCTCTGTTCTCTTGCTCCCGGTGGGCAGGTCTAAACCATTATAGTGTGTGGTTACTTGGAGGGTCATCATGTAGAGGAGGATGGGTAGGCAAGATGTAAAATGAGGGAGATGAAACTGAAAGCAGTAGGATAACTTGTTTCTCGAGCATGGTGATGTTTGCTGGACACTTATGCACATGCACGTGCACACACATGGTTGCTGAGGCAATTCCTTCTTGGAGAGGCTGGTGTGATGGGCTTGTACTGCTGTATGAGGACAAGAGACAGACAGAGTGACCTCTTGGCTCCTGTCTCTAGAGGGTGGGCTGAAGTCAACTGGTGGCCTAGAGATGGCCACAGGTGGCCCAAAGACTGAGCTCCTGGGGGGTAAGTAACATTTCATTGTCCTGGCATTACTGGTGAGTCAGGAGGTTTGTGCAAATGAAATGAATTTCCCTTGCAACTGTAGCTTTTCACAAAAGGCACCAACTTCAATCATTTCAAATATTTTTTAAGGAAAAAAAAAGATACTTTCTTCCTTGACAAAGAGACAAATATTCTTCTAAACCAGTGGGTTCTGTAAGATACTAGTTCCAAGAGATTATTAGCTGGTGTTACTTGAGAAGAAAAGGTAGGGAGGGAAGGTCAGTGCTTGTACAAAGTTAAGGAGCACTGGTAAACAGAATTCAGTCAACTTTTCTACTGCAGGGCTTCTCAGGGCTTTTACTACATCAGTGTATGGTTTTGATTTGCTAACAGGAATATAGTGTACAGGATCTTCTGCACATATTTGATCACAGAATCCTTTTGTTCCTGAGTCCTCAGAGGACAAGCACTTATAGAACAAACTGGGGAGTGCTATGCTAAGAGGCCCCCCTTCCCTGGATTTACAGAGGATGCAGAGTATAGCTAACTGTGGATTACAGTTCCGTGTCTGCTCTGTAGTCTATCTTCCTCCCTCAGGACCAATCATCATCTTTGCCTCAAATACAGCCCCTCTCTCTGCCTCCTCTAATTCCCTGTCTTTTTCTCTCCTGTGTGTGAAATACCAGATAACCAGTGGCCTTGGGAAGAGTTGATCGAAGGGTGAGAAGATGAGGCCCTGGGAGAGGGGCCCTGAGTACTCTGCACAACCCTGAGCACGGGCTATGGAATATCTTGGCCACACTTTATCTTCGTTGTGTGCTTTCCAGGCCAGGGCTTTGTACTACTGCAGGCTTGCCAGAGACCTCCTCCCCATAAGGGAGTTCTACCACGTTAGTCTTTGTTTGAGATTACAGTTCTAACAGACTTCAGTTCTGAAGTCTGACTTGGTATTCGTGTGTGTGTGTGTGTGTGTGTGTGTGTGTGTGTGTGTGTGTGATATGAATGATCTCACAGATACTATCTTGATTGATTTTTGAAAAATACTGAGTTATTTATAATGCCTCTTATTGGTGTCCCATTGAAAACAATGGGACTTTGGGCTGGCTACTGTTCTTGGCAGTAGGTGGCAGCAGATATGGCCCTAGGGCCTGTGCAGTGAAGAGTGATTCTCATGGGCATGGATCAAAGTCTCATGTCCTTTGAGTTTCTTGGAATCTCCTCCTTCGTCTCCAGGGTCCTCTTGTATTGCTTATTGCTAGCCCTGCATCCTGTGGTCCAGCAGGCCTCTCTGCTAGCTGCTCCCCACCTAGGCGACAGTCATGCCTCCACACTTGGGCTCATGGTGTCACCTCTGCTGGAATGACCTTCCCTCTCCTCTTCTCTGCTATGAAAAATTCTTCTGACTCATTGAGACTCAGAGCACATGTTTGCTCTGTAGGTGGGGCCTTCCCTGTGTTCTGTACCACGGCCCCCCTCCACCCTAGCACGTTGTCCTCAGGACTCCTTTAGCTCACGGCCTATGTGCTCTGGCTCCTTGGACGGGCTCTGAGTCTGAGGAGCCAGGATCCCTCAGATCCACCGCTGCATTTGTAGGCCTGCACAAGGCCTGGCCATAGCTGGTGTCAAGTACCTACTGGTACCAAATTGGCTTGGAAAGGGCTTGGTTTTTGGACCCCATCGGGCCAAGAGGCCACAGAGGCCAGATGTCTTGGTGAGCAGGGGAGAAAGCGCAAAGGGAAGCAAGACCTTCCGGATGGTGAGCTTTTTTGACTTTGTTATTGCAGGAGATAGAATGTCTTTCCCAGTGCTCTTTAAAATGGTAATTAGGCTGGGAGGCCAGGGATCCAATTCTGTGCATACACAGGCCATTTTAATGAACTCTCTGGAGAAAGAGAGGGGGAAATGGTACTGTTCATTTTGTTTTTCTTAACATGGTGGCAGAGACATTTGGGAAGTAGACAAGATCCTCAAGGGCTCTGGGGGATGTTGGTTGTCCCTGACCACTCCCTGCCAACCCCCCCAAACATCCTCTCCATCCGCCCCCACCATTAGCTGAGACACTCAGTTCCCAGGACAGAATCGTCCCTCCCTCCCATCCTTTTGCCTGCCTCTGGCTCTGTGTCTCATCCCTTCCCTTCCCCCATTCACTCATTCTGACAACAGATGTTTGTCAAGTACCTCATCTGTGTTGGAGGGACAATAGGAGAAAACAGTCTGGCTGCAGAATCTGGCCCTGCCCTCAGCTGGGGCATGGAGGGCAGAGGGGTTCAATCTCATCCTGGGTGGCAGTGAGCCCTCCCTTGGTCTGGGGCTGAACAAGCCTGAGGCCCTGAGGGGCTGGCGTGAGGTCCCTTGAGGACCCTGATGGGCCCCCTGTCATGGCCGTACATTAGCATCACCTACTGGGGAGATGGCCTGGAGTTTCACAAGCTGGCTCAGGCAGTAGCATTCTTTTAATTCTCTGAGGTGATTGAGATGAACGTCTAGCCGAGGCCAGAGCCAGTGGCCCGTCCCTAGATCTCCCACCACAGCACAAGTTAGGAGACCGCTGACCTACTGGGCTGCTCCCGGGAGAGGACCCCGACCTGCTGGAGCTTACTCAGCTGCTTCGGGAGTGGAGGGCCATTTCTGAAATATTGGACAGTTTGCCTGTCCTGGGTCACTCCCGGGATCCCATGGAGCCCCTGGGGGAAGGAACAGAACAGCTGTGTCCACTGTGCCAGCACAGGCCAAGGGGTTGCCCCGAGGAACCCTTACCCCCTCAGTGACCAGACCAGACTGTCATTCCTGGCCGCTCTGCCCTGAGGCTTTCGTCTTCCCTCTGGGCTCTGAATTCATTTCCTGGGGCTGCCATAGCAAATTATCACAAACAAGCAGTTTTAAACAACAGAATTTATTCTCTCACAATTCTAAAGGCCAGAAGTCTAGGATCCAGATGTGGCCGAGCCATGCTCCCTCTAAGGGCTCTGGGAGAAAATTCTTCCTTACATCCCCTGGCTCTTGGTGGTGGCAGGGCTCCTCGCCTCCTCGTCCCTTCACCTCCTCACCCTGGGGCTGCACCTCCTCGTCCTCTCACCTCCTCCCCGTGGGGCTGCATAGCCCCAGTCTCTGCCTTCATCTTCATGTGGCCTTCTCCTCTCGGGGTCTCTGTGTGTCCTCTCCTCTTCTTGTAGGGACCCCAGTCATTAGACTTAGGGACCTACCCTAAATGCAGGATGAGTTTTCATCTTGCAAAGACCCTATTTCCAAATAAGGTCACATTCTGAAGTTCCAGGTGGATATGAATTTGGTCGGGGGCGGGGGCATTCTTCAACCCCCTACGGCACCTCCCACTCTGATCCCACTGGAGACCAGTCCTTCTGGCCTTGGGCCTCAGAACCATCAGACGAGGTAGTTATCAGTGGGCACCAAAGGCTTCCTGGAGGAGAGGGCGGGAGGATTTAACTGTAGCTGCACTGGAGGGAGGGATGGTGACTTAGAGGAAGGATGACGTCTGTGGAAGTCCAGAGTGTAACGTCCAGCACTGCATGTGTGTGGTGGGGGGGGGGGTCTGCCTGTTGCAGTGGAGGGTAAGCGTGGGGCCTTTGGATGGATTATTGGCAGGCTGCATTTTGATCAAGTTCATGGGTCTTTCCCCTTTTGCCTTCTTGGGTACTCTGCTCCTTCCTTCATCATATACATGTATGTATGTGTGTATGTATGTAATGTACATATATATGAAATTATATTTTGCAACTGTTGTACATAATCCAGACTAGATTCACTATTATATATTTATTATTATTATGTTTGTTTTTCTCTTGATTTTAAAAGACATTAAAATTTAAAAGTTAGAAAATATTTTCATGGCCCCCTGAAAGTACCACAGGCTCCAGGCTCTGAGCCTGCCATACCTTGTGGATAAGTGGGCCCAGAGGGTTGGCACTGGAAAGCCCTGGATGCTCAGAGGGGCTTGGTCTCGTGGGGCAGGAAACGCAGGGCTGTTGAGGGTTCCTTCTGTGGGTACTGATGGGATCAAAGGCATCTGTTTGTAGGAGACGCAGGTGGAGCACTGCGTTGGGGCAGGGGTGACGGCTGTAGGTGGGGTGCACACAGACCTGGATGCAGCTGTGTGTGGAAGGGCGGGGCAGGGGAGGGAGGAGTGTCACTGAGCATTTATGCAGGGCTGTGTGGGAGGTGAGTGAAGGGCCTGGGCCTAGGACAGAGACACCATAGGGCAGTGGAAAGGATGAGTGAACAGAGTGGATCTGTGGGGTACAGAGGAGGGAGAGGCCTGAGTGGGCCCTGGGTTTCTGTCCAGACACCCTGGAAGACTATCAGTGTCATCAACACACACACAAAATGAAGAGTCAAGTGGGAAGTAATGATGGAACAGCCAAGTGAAGGCGTTTGAAAC